GCTTTGGCCGGCTGCGGGGCCGCGCGCCAGGTACCCCTCCACCCGCCTATTGTATTCGCTCGCACCCACCCAGCACATGGAAATTAGTTACTCGCTGGAGTACATGCCTCACACAAACACGTCAACTGCTCCAGCCAATAAATCTCTCCTCAGCTTTCGTTATCACCCGACTGACCTGCGGCCGCATCTCTGTCGACATCGTCCGATATACCGCGTTTTTTTATGAGCGATACCGTTGCCAGCGACTTTATAAAAAAGGGAAAAAGCTAGACTGCGTACTCCTTGCCAGACGCTGAGGCAAGCACCAAGTCAGGGATCAGCGGATGCGTCACGACTCCTCACTCTCCTCTTGCGCATCTATCCATTACTACGCCCGTATACTCGACTTTGACCGAGCCGCGACTTGAAACCAAAGCAAGAACGCCTTCTCCAATTTCCCAAGGTGGCAGGGTCGCCATAGGTTCAGCAAACCCTGTAAAAACAGCCAGTCAGCTTGTCAAGCCGAGATATGAAGGACCACGCCGACCACAGTTGCGACAACGCTCCATGCTGATGAGATCTGAGCGATTGCTGGCCTGCGCTTGCGGAGACTCAGGCATCTGTTGCGAGAAGCGCATCCATGGCCGCAAACGCCAACCCTAGGCATAGTATGCCTGCGGGGGGCTATCATGCCAGAAATGGAGCCTCGTCCGGTCCTCCTCGACCCTCAGCCGCTCCCTTTCCACACATTGACGATCTCGTCTCCATTCCGAAAGATATTAATACGAATCAGTCTATAAGGAAGCTTTTGGAGCAGGCAGAAAGCTCTTTTCGGCAATCCGAGTTGCATCGTGATTTCAACCGCCCTGCCATTGCTTTGAAGGACTATGTCAGGGCATTCGTCATCGCTGTGGAAGTTATCCGGAGACACCAAGATTATCCTGCCATGACGTCGAAACAGGGGGACGCTTCTCTACTACACAAATCACTTTTATCCAAAATAAATCGCCAAAGTGAAATATACAACCAGATCAAGCAAGACATCATTGCCGATAACCGAAGGACTGGCGTCCGGCCTACGGTTGAGAGTTCGCCTGTACTCACCACGGTCAACGGACTGTCAAATGCTCCTCTGCCAGTTACAGGCAATACTGGAGTCCGGCCGCTTCAACAGGAAGAGGAACGACAGCCGCAGCAGAAGCTACAGAAGCTGCCAAACGGACGTGTACCTCACTTGCCGAATGGTGGCCCTCCTGCCAAGTCAAAGCCAGCTGTTAACCCAAAGCCTGCGGCTCTCCATGGCAACGCCATTCCTCCTCGACATCATCGTATCAATTCCGCAAATAATATGAAATTGGATTTAGCCGCTCGATTCGCCAATTTGAGAGGACCGCAGCCATCACCCGGACAAGATCCTCGAATTAAGACATATCCAATCATTCCTCAGAGGCCAGCCGGTCCAAGACAAATGCCGCCGTCCCTCCCAAAGGTGAATACTAATGCGAATTATGACACCGCTTTACCCAAGCCCCCAGATGCTATATATAGCCCGGTTCGAGGTAGCGTTTCTGGAGAGGCGGCACGGTTGCCCACAAGTACGCCCAGAGGACTCTTCAGCCGAAAAGGTTCATCCACGTCAATATCGGGAACTCCCAGCGCGAATCAACCGCGGCAGAGCGACGAATACTTTCCTCTTGTTCCACCCAGTGCTCCAAAGGCATCTGACGTGACAGAGAAGGTGCTCAAAATCCCCGAGGGCAATACCATCACCCCTAGGGAGCTCATCACGGTCAGAGAAGCCAAGGCATCTATTCTCTACATCGATGTGCGGCCCCGTGAGGATTTTGATGAAGGACATATTATGGCCGTATCGATTATTTGCATCGAACCAAGCATTTTGGAACGAGGAGATGTGACATGCAACGATATCTCGGAAGCTCTGGTTCTATCTCCCCCCACAGAGCTTTCGCTCTTCGAGAAGCGCCAGTCATACGACTTGGTGGTCTTGTACGACCAAGATTCGGAATCCTTTCCTAAATCTGACAAAGACCCGCGGGTCATTGCTCTCTGGTCATTAAACCGTGCCTTAGTTGAGCTGAGCTACGATAAGGAGCTAAGGAACCGGCCCAAGCTCCTCAAAGGTGGGATAAATGCGTGGACTGACCTCTATGGAGCTGGCTCCCTACGATCTACTCCGACTCCGACTGCGGATGCCAAGGCGCATCCTAGAACTAGCAAACGCCACCCACTCATTCAACGAAAAAATTCCAAATATGTTTTTAATCCGCTACCTGAAAAAGACGTAGAGACGTTCCGAAAGGGTCTTGAAAAGGATGCGGCACCGCCATCTTTCCCCCGCACCAGAGACGAGTTTCTGAGGTTCCCTCCGGTGTCACCAGAACAGCAATCCATGTCATCTGGAATTTCTGCCGAACAGCGATACAAACATGACTTTGCAACGGGATTCGGCTCCCCTGTACATATGCTCAGCCCCCCAACTCGACCCCAAGCCGCAGTACAACGCCCCAGCCATATCAGCCTGTCCGAAGACGGCGAGGATGACCATGAAATTACAGAGCAAATACCTGCCATACCTGCAAAAGTGCACACAGGGCTCAATAATCCAGGCAACTGGTGTTATGCAAACAGCATAATACAATCCCTGCTTGCATCTCCTAGCTTTGGGAGAGAAATTGCTGACTCAGAATGGGCAAGGCGGTATAAGAACCAAGTGCCCCGTAAATCTGGTGAAAAGATGGATCAACCACAGCTTATGATTCAAATGCTGTCAAATATCTTCTACTGGATGAGTTCCGGCAAGTTCCAGACTATGAAGGCTCAAATGCTCATGGTAAGTCCGTCATCAGCTATATACGACAGCACAAGAAGGGGGGTTATGTGCTAACGTAATGTGAAAAATTAGGATTATTCCCGACACCTGTGCGCCACCGGTGATCCCAAGACGAAGTTTGGTGGAAAAGACCAACAAGATGCGCAGGAATTCATGTCCTTCTTAATGGATCAGCTTCACGATGAGACCAATCTTCGACGGGGCCAGCAAGGCACGGTTGACCAACCCAATGTTCAGGGTATGCAGCTGGTTCAAGCGGCAGAACGATACTGGGAAAACCATAAACGATTGAACGACTCCATTGTGGATCAGTATTGGCGCGGGCTTCAGTTGTCCACAGTTCAATGCCATCACTGTGCCACTCGGACTTACACGTTCTCGCAGTTTGAGTCGCTTGGCGTCAATGTGTCTGGCGACCGGAACATGACTCTGTCAGAAGTTTTGCGGCAGGCCAACACTGGCGACGAAATCGATGATTTTAGGTGCAACTGTTGTGCAACTTCAAGGCCAGCCAAGATTTCAGAGTCTCTAGCACGAATGCCGCCCCTTCTTTGTGTTAGTTTCCGCCGTTTCCAAGTCAATGGAAGAGGTGTCGTCAAGTCTACCGCGGAGGTTACTTGGGATTTTAATGATTTCGACTTTACACCGTACTTTCTTAACTCGGCTGAAGACTGGCAAGGCGCCTCCACACACGATAGAGCCTTCTGTGGCCCTTTCCGGTATCAATGCTATGCAGTCATTGTTCATTCTGGACGAAGTATAGACAGTGGGCATTACTACGCTTATGTGCGTGATTCAAGCACCCACGACCCGTATGCCTGGTATTGCTGTAACGACAGCGTCGTGACCAAAGTTCGCATTGGCAGTCGGGAACCTGCGGACATACAGAACACGGTCTTCAAATCTGGGTCGGATGCAGTCCCGTACCTTGCGTTCTTCAGGAGGAAGAGCGAATGAGGAGGTCGTAATGTATCACGAGAGACTATCCTAGAGGATCCATTTCTTTTTTTCTTTTTGAGACATGATGGTACCATGTTTCTGTTAGGTCCCTTGATTTTTTTTTCTTTTGTTGGAATGCATGATGGCAAGGATGGAATGGATGGAATGGATTGAGCGATGTGATTTATTCTGCTTCATTTTTGTCTGTTTGGCGGAGTTAATCCAGCATTTGCACATATTTTTGTTTCTTTTTTGCAAAGCTGTATGATGATGACCATTATTTCTCACAGGCTGGCGCGGCATTGGGAAGCGTTACGCATGTACGACAGCCAATCTCTCTTCGTTGGGCGATTTTCTATTGGGCATTTTTCGCGGGGAATACTGTACATATACATGGCAACATGGCATTTCCAATTTTCCAATTTCAACCACGCCTTTCAATCCGCGTTTCTATGTGTGCCTACCCAAGTTCGGAAAGACGGACAATCCGTCCCGGTTGTAATCACACCACTCACCCCTCGGCCCGGGACTCCAAAACACACCCTACAGCAATTTCACAGGAAACTCCAGGAAGCATACGCAAGGCGAAGGGACTCCCTAAATTATAGGGTGATATGGGGCCTGAAACAGCCGCAACGGATGTGCGTAGAAGGCGCCTCTCGGTTCAGGAGCGCGGGTTTAGAAACGACAAACGCGAAGGACTAAAAAGGAACAAGGTCATTGACGTCGACGCACGGGGAAAAAAGGCATGGCACCTCTCCGAGGAATGCGGACGTGTCGTCCCGTTCACTTGTCAGTCCCTTCCACAAATGCTGGCATGAAGCCAAGACTCGCAGCAGGAACCCTCAAAGGGATTTCCCCGCCCAATATAACAACATGCTTCACGTATATGAGGCACAGACACCAAGCATTATGAAAGGGTAAGTTGTCGCCAGGTTATCATAACTACTACATTGTTCGATGTACCCTTGATCCAACGCCACGAGTTGCATACATTACAGACCGGAGAGTATAACTAACACAAAAATTGCAAGGAAAAAGACAAAATACCGTGGTATATGAAAGTACGCAGATGAAAAGCGGTCTCGCGACGGATCGTATTATAACACGCATCCTGATTCTGCAGGCTCACACATCCCTCCGCATCACACACACTCTCTGTCTCTCGTGTATCATGGTCCGCTACTTGGCAAAATCTTCCTTCCCTTTTCTATATCGTCGCATAACATGTTTAGGCGTTTTTCAAACACTCCTCGATTTCCTTCTTGAACCGGTCGCGGATGACTCTTCGGTTGAGCTTCTGGGTAGCAGTGACCAGACCCTGCAAGTATATTAATACAAAAGCTCTTCCAGGTTCCTTCTTGGACATCAACTTACACTTGGCGGAGTCCACTCTTCATCAGTGACAACAACGCCGGAGACTATCTCCATCGAGGATAGGCCGGAACGTCTGCCAACAGTCTGAAGGTCTTTGAGAACAGCGTCACGGACCTTAGAGTTAGTGTGCATGTCATGCTCGTCAACACCGAGTTCCTTAGCCTTGTCGACCAGAATCTTCTCGTTAGGCATGATGACGGCGATGGGTCGGGAGTGCTCAGCGTCGGCATGGACCATGATGTTACTGACAGTCTGGGCTCCGCGGTAGATTGACTCAACCTTTTCCAATGCAATATACTCACCGCCCTGCATCTTAACCAAGTTCTTCACCCGATCAATGACCCGCAAGTGGCCGTGGGCATCAAACTCGCCAATATCACCAGTCTTGAACCAACCATCTGGCGTAAGTGCCTTCGCAGTTTCTTCAGGGTTGTTGTAGTATTGCTTCAAGATGGGCAGTCCTTTCATCAAAATCTCGCCCTGTGGAACCTTGACATCGTCGGTGAAATACCCAAGCTCAGGCACGGAGACAAGCTTAACGTCGATAGCCGCAGAGATAGGGCCAATTGAGTTGGGTGAAAATTCGAGTGGGCAGCCCAAGGCACCGTTGGCACAGGTCTCGGTCAGACCATACCCGACCAACATGGGAGCGAGGACCAGAGATAGGAACTGCTTCGTGTTATCGGAAATACCGCTGGCACCGTTCATGGTGAACCGAAGACGGCCACCTGTAAGCTCTCGAACTTTGCCAAAGACAATGCCGTCAAAAAGGCTTGCAAGGGGCAGCTTGTTTCTAGACATGAAAGATTTGTAGCCATAGGCTCCCCAAAAGAGGTTTCTCAAGAGCGGACTCGAGGAGTCGAGCTTATTCATAACACCCTTCTTTACAGTCTCCCAGACTTGGGGGACGCCGACCAAAGCCGTTGGGCGGAACTCGCGCATGTCGCCAGCGCAATTCTTGACAGAAACATCGGAAAGCGTACGGGGATTTCCGTAACCCAAAGTACCTCCAATGAACAGTACCAAGTTCTCGAGAACCATTTCAAAAATGTGAGCCAGTGGCAAGTAAGCCAGGACAAACTCCTTGTCGCTGACGCACTCATCGACACAGGTGAGCTCCCCAGTAACTACACAAACGGCACATTAGTCCTCCATTACGCTCCCTTCCTCCCTCTCCCTCGAGGCTCCAAGCACCAATAAAGGGGTTGTGGTTGTAGCTACTTACCAGCAGCAATGACGGCCTCGTGACTGAGACATGCACCCTTGGGCAGGCCAGTGGACCCAGAAGTGTACATGATGCAGTAGAGATCCTGGGGCTTGGGGGGAACAGGATCAACCATGTTCTCCTCGCCAAGCTTGCGCACCTCCTCAAAAGTCAAGACCTTGAGATCGGGATTGTTCTTCTTGAACTCCTCGACCTCGCCCCCGGTAGCAAAAATGCAATCCTCGTTGATAATAACAGTCTTCACGCTCGACTTCTTGATGGGGTTGACAGCCGTCTTCAGCAGGTGCGGGTCGACAAACATGGCAGTGGCATCAGTCTGAACAAGTGAGTGCTCAACACCGCTCTCGCCGAGGGTGTCATACGCAGTGACAATGGAGATGGACTGTGACGCGCAGGCGTGAGACATGGAAATCCACGGCAAGCTAATTCAAAATTCAGTCAGCGGCGGTCGTTGGGGGCATAGGCCAGGGCGAGAATTCTCTCGGGGGTGGATTAATACCTAGTGGTAGCGAACAAGTGAAGCTTGTCCTCAGAGGTCAAGCCCAGCTTGCGAAGTCCAGAGCCAAGCTGGAGGATTCGGGTCTCATACTCCTTGTAGGTCAGGAAGCTGTAGCCAGAGAGCTCAAAAAACTGCCACTCCTTGTCGACTTCCCGAAGCTCGCCGTCCACATTCTTCTTGATCTTCTTTGTCTCCTTGTGAAGCTTGATAAGCTTGCGATAGCCCAGTGCCTGGTGGTTGGGATAGACACGAGCGCTGCGGCGCACAATGTCGAAGACGTTGTGGACGTCGTCGGCGGGACGGGAGAGAAGGCCGTTTTTGGCTCGAGGATGGCGCCGAGGAATTGTTTCGCCCGGGACTTTTGGGTAGTCGGGAGCTTCGATGGTATACGGTGGCTTATGCACCGAGTGCAAGGGCATAATGCCCGTGGTGTAGTCGGTCATGATGCTGTTGGGGCGCGGGGGGGACGCGAAGAGAAAGGATCGTTGGGGGGAGAGGAGCCAGGAGCTGATCAAAGGGAAGTGGAGGAGATGGCAAAGACACGGCGCAGGCAGCAGGAGGAGACACTGTCCAGCAACGGGGGATGCGAATTCCAAAATACAACAAGCCAAGAGGCGACAAGAGGGGAGCAGAGGAGGAGTTTAGGACGGGACATGGACAGGCTTAAGGACCGGAGCAGGAGGTTGGCTCGTTGTCCCGGCCACAGCTTGACAGCACCTTCTTGGGGTAGTCGGGAGCTTCGATGGTATACGGTGGCTTATGCACCGAGTGCAAGGGCATAATGCCCGTGGTGTAGTCGGTCATGATGCTGTTGGGGCGCGGGGGGGACGCGAAGAGAAAGGATCGTTGGGGGGAGAGGAGCCAGGAGCTGATCAAAGGGAAGTGGAGGAGATGGCAAAGACACGGCGCAGGCAGCAGGAGGAGACACTGTCCAGCAACGGGGGATGCGAATTCCAAAATACAACAAGCCAAGAGGCGACAAGAGGGGAGCAGAGGAGGAGTTTAGGACGGGACATGGACAGGCTTAAGGACCGGAGCAGGAGGTTGGCTCGTTGTCCCGGCCACAGCTTGACAGCCACTTCTTGCTCGAGGGCACTTGAGAACTTGAGCGTACAATGACGCCGCCTGCAGGCCAAGCTTGGGTACGGGGCTAGGTGGGCTGGGCAAGGGGGGGCAGGGAGGTACCGGACCGGGTACCAGAGACCTGCCAAGGCACGTGTAGAGGCGCCAGATTGCCGTACTGGAGAGGTATCTGGGGCGGGGCGCTGAAGGGGTCCAGCTGGAGCAGTACCTACTAGGTACTTAAGTAAACAGAGCTGGCAGGTTACCCGCGGCCAAAGGAGGCCCGAGATGTGATTTGCGGGGATACCTGGGTCGGTACGCTGGGCCAGCTCCCAAAGGACATGCTCGGCCCTCAAGTACAGCGCCTACGGACGGCGATGATGCTTATTGTTTTTCATCTCGCACGCCAGTTGACCTCATCAGGTGCTTTGCGCCCGCTGTATAGTAGGCACACTTTGTAACTGCACAGCAGCAAAAAACATGTGGATGGGGATCTTGCCAAGCTAAAGGCAGTCAGTCGTCTGGGGTCGCCTTGGGGCGGCGGCAGCCTCGATTATTGGTGCCCAGCCCCGTTCACAGGTGCTGAAAGCACCCAGGTACCCGAGTGGCGTTCCGAGGCTCAGAATTGCACTCGAGGACGGCAACATTTGAAGTTTCCAAGAGGGACAGAAATATCCAACAGCTCAAACGTGACACACCTCATTTGCCTCATTTGAGCACCAGGAAGCACTGACGTCCCTCCAGATGTCGACGCTCCCGGTCGCTCCGGCAGGACGCCTTCTGTTGCATGTATGGCCAGTTGCCATCGCTTGCCCACGTACGGAGTACTCCCATCTCTCATTTCTCTCTTCCCCACACACAGCAAGGACCATTGCTAATCGGTGGCTCGGCTCTTCGACGCAGTTCAAGCTTCGTCCGGACCTCCAGGCTGTCATCCCGAGGCAAGTGTCCAACTCCAGCAGTCCAAGTCGCTGAAGCCGGCCAGTAAGTCGCCGCATCTAGGCCAACCGAGGCTGACGATACACGACCGTCACAGAGGTTACCTTACCCTCCTACGCTGTCTTCTCCAAGTCACTGTAACGGGATCTGGCGACATGGCCAAGCTAAATCAATCAATCACTCGAGTCGGCCTGGCCCTCGTCCAGGATCCCAGGATCCCAGGGTCCCAGGACCACCACGGCAGAACACCCTTTTCTGCACAATCAGAGCTCCGCAATTATCTTGTACAGGTCCACCCATCAGCCATGACATCTTGAAAGGCTCGCAACCCCTGCTGGCATATGGAGCAGAATGAAGGCCGTGCGTAGCCATTGGCCTCCAACATCTGGATCCATCCCAACGCCACACCATGTCTTCCCCTCCTCAACAAAACCAAAAGAAGGCGAACCGGACTATCAAGTTGACTCGGCCGCCTACTTCCTCACGTACAATATTCATGACTGTGAAGGAAACACGTCACACCTCCCAGAAAGCAAGCATCAGTGTCGGGCAGCTTTCCGAAGCATTATCACCTATTGGCCCTCAACAGATGCCTCCTGGGACCTGGAGCGGGAGGTCGGCTGGGACCCCCTGGCGTAAACAAGCCATGGCAAGCGTGGGACACAATTTAAGGCTGGCTGCATTTCCAACTCGGTATATTCTACATTTCACTGCACGGAAGGCATGCGATGCCCCAAGCTTGTGCTTCCTTTGATTCAGGGTCAACCAGCGACATGCTTGCCCGCCAACAGTCGAATATTGAGACTAGGTTGCCACGGTCTTGGCAACTTCTGCCTCGTGACCAAATACTACTCAGGGCTGAGTGCGTCAGGTAGTTGTGGCTGCGTGTCGTACTTTCCGGAGCATGCAGACAGGAAGCATCAGTTGCTTCGGTTCGTCCTTGGACTGTGACAGGGCACCATTGCCGTCACGATGAATATCAGTGTGATCGACCGGGCCTCCCACTGGCATCCTATCGAATGCGTACAGTAGACGATGAGTGATATTTCAGGCTAGGGTCTCCCCCTGCATCTCGCTTGAGATCGGACTGACTACCTAGACGAGGGTATGTCAAACTGACTAACTTAGTACATACTCCTCACGGACTAGTATACCGTGACAGAATTGTTAAATCAACCCTACTCTCCAGCAGCGAGCAAGTAAAAAGAACCGAAACTCTTTCCGTTCAGTTCGAGGAGCACGTGTAACAACTTAGCCGGCAACTCAGCTCAGCCAAACGGGTTCCTTTATTCAACACCTAACTTTTCGTGCCTCATTTGACCAAGTCGAAATTAAGACTTCGCATCCCCAATGCGGGATGGCTTCACGCAGAAACGTGGAACAGCCATGATAAGTCTGCATTGTTATCAGCTTGGCCACGGATTTTTTTTCTTCTTCACATGTTTTGCGGAGATGCCGGTGCAAGCTGTGAATCGCCTCGCTCCGGTCAAAAAGAATTCGAATCTGAGCTTTAGCCTTGTTATTGTGGAGAGATGCATCAGGGGCACCCGGCCGATACCATGACAGCTTCGCGCAACCGCGGTGACACACAGAAATGATTTTGCGGCCCGTATCTGGTGGGGATTCTGGCCCGTTGTTCCATCTTTCTCGGTCGGCATGTCGCCATGGCGGGCCTTTGTATCAATTTGGACTTATGCTCCGTTAAGTCAAACCTAGCGATGCAGGACTGGATTGCCTACAGCCAAATGAGTTTGAGCTAGGAGGACCCTGTGATGGCCCAGAAACGGAGACTAAAAATAACCCAGATCAACCTCGGACGGCCCGCGAGATATCTTGCTTCATCTTGAACAAGTGATGTTGGCCAACAACTCTTCGTTGTAATACGTATATAGTCGTCGAACGCTCAGCTTGCCAGGATCGAGGACAATTGGGCAAGGAACCAAGCCTACATTCGATTATAACCCAGACTCTTGTTGCATGCTGTGACTTCTCGAAACATTCCATCCAAGTTTTCAACCAGCATCGTATCGTTGTCATTACTCGTGACCTATTTGCAACTAGAGCCTTGCTGCCGCATAACTACCACATGGAGGTTGCATACGAGACTCACACATGTAATTGTTTCTTTTTCTTATGACGGCGAAGTGTGAGACTTGGATGCCCCGGAATGCCGCCTGATGGCATGGTTTTTGTGATGGCTCAGCCGTTCTCCCTGCGTTATTTGGAGACCGGATATATGTAAAGCATTTCGAACCGAAGTCATGTACCAGGCTTGCGTGGGAGTCACAATGCCCCCCTTCCTAGATAAAACACAGAAAAGATTCTGCGGCCTGGATCCGACACAAAACATATTCGTTCTTATTGAGCGGCAGGCTGTAGAGAATCATTTTCCTTTGCCGCACAATGGACCAGTTCGAATGCCATATACCCCTTAACGAGATGCCTGCTTATCCGAAAGAATACTAGTTAATCAAGTTTCTATTTTATTTTTTCGGCCCATCTAAGTGATCGTGCAAGCACTACATTATCAGGGCCTAGTGAGAGCAACATACTGTGCCTGGCCGTACCCAAGCCAAAGAAATGTAATTTACCATGTTAAATACCATGCGTAAACGCATCACAATGCGTCAGAAGCTTATGGACTGGTGATTGATTGCGGCGCGCCCGTAATTATATCTCTGTCCTCAGCCACTACATGGAAGTAAAATATAACATGTGCCGGTAACTCACTTTGAAAACTGAAAATGGCCGCACATGACACATATGAACGAGGCCTATGCTCGTCGGCATTCCATGTGTCCTTTACACTCTCTCTTCGTCACTCTTTCAATAATAAGAGCCCTGTCACGGCTGTAAGTTGACGTCCGTGAATCGACACGACTACACGCAAGGCCTCGCTTGTGCTAAGCTCACGCTCACCGAAGCACTTGCTGACACCGGTCAAAGCAATCGAAAATCGCCGTGCGGCAGTCAGATATGATTAAATATCTCGGAAACTAATGAAGGTACTTTGGTAAATATTTAGGGAAAGTGCCGCACATGGAGTGTCTTGCTCGTTTTTACGCTCGTGAGGTGCACATGAGGAGATACGGGTATAGTCACCCAGAATATCGAGTGCGCAAGGCTAAAAACTACAGGGAAGTAGACTTTCCCTGGCATTGAACAATGGGAGTTGAGGCAGTGCGGAATCCCTAGATACGACACTGGTTTACAACGGGACACTTACAGAAGAGATGGAGCCATTGCTCGATTTCGCCGAACTTTTCAAAGGTTTCAAATTGGGCACATAAGCTCCGAGGGGATCGAGGTGTTTTATCTAACAATGTCCCTCCCTTTACATACAGGGTAGTTTCCCTGCCTACTATTTCGCAACAGGTTTCAGTATGTTTAGCCCAACAGACCGTGGGTGACTGAATTACAGAGCAATTCGCAGAGCATGGGC